CCTGAGTGCCACTCCTGTTAGTAACCGGGACCATTTGAAGCTTCCGAGCAGTCTTCAAAGGCAACCCCACGTAGAGAGTGCTGCAGTAGTCTATATGGGATGTAACCAGAGCGGCCATTGAGACCTTACTCCTACTGACTCTCATTCCCTGTCCCAAATGCCAGCTATAGGTCTCAATGGGCCCACAGGCAAGAGGTCTTCAGTGTCCCCATCCATGACTGTTTCTCTGATCCATTCCTATAATTCCGCCTCCAAACTAATGTTTAAAACCGTCCTTGTTTGTTTGTTTTGTGGCCATTTCCTTGCTTCTTTTTTCAGTGAGGGTCAGGGGTGTGGTGTTTTGTTTGAACTGTGGGGTTTCTGTGGGTCCCAGTGAGGGGCTGGAGACTGGGAGGAACAAACAAGGGCCAGGAACCGAGAGCAGTGCCCGGCCGCTGCCCATAGCGGATCCTCTGTCTCCCGCTCCACGCCTGACGGATTCCAGACACCACACTCGGCCGCTGCAAATCAGATGGCTTCCTGCATGTGAGGCGAAACAGGAAGAAGGGCTCTTGGGATAAACGGGTTCGGCTCAGATCCGAATGTGCGACTGCTGGAAGCACTGAATTCATTTTGAGCCAGATTGAGAGAAACTCAGAAGAAGCAACCCCAAAACCTTCTTCTCTCCATTGTAAATCCCATTTAGTGCTGACTCAGAATGCAGCGGCATCATCTTTTAAAACAATCAGCTAAAGGCAAGATTGGTCTACCTTTGCCTCAATGTCATAGCAAACTATTTATATAGAAGGCAAACGAAGGCAGGAGATGGCAGATTTATGACTCAGGAAAGGAGCTGCTCATTCCGTAAGCCTGTGGGAAAGGGAGAACGGCTCCTTCGTTGTGAAGCATACAACTACGAGGGTTTATGCTTCACAACGAAGGTTATCCTGAAAGTAAGGTTACAAGGCACATGGCTTGGCCATGGACCAGGAAGCCAGCGGAAGCAAACGAGCAGTGCCAGTCGTCAGTAGCTCATCAACTAGCATTGGGGTGAAGGTTAGAGATAAGCATCCCCATTCCGTTTCCCTTGAAGTGCGAAGTTCGCACTGTATTACGCTACCTAAATGCTAAGGGCATGAACACCACTGTGATTCATGGCGAAATTGTTTCAGTTTGTGGAGAGGAATTAATGTCAAGACAGCATGTGACAAAATGGGTATGGAATATATAATAAATAAATATATTTTGACTAAATCACCTGGGCCAGAGTGAAGAGAGAGGGGGCCAGGGGACAGTTCCACCTTGTCTCCTGCGTTATTCTAATGTTGTTGTTCATTCGTTCAGTCGTCTCCGACTCTTCGTGACCTCATGGACCAGCCCACGCCAGAGCTCCCTGTTAGCCGTCACCACCCCCAGCTCCTTCAAGGTCAGTCCAGTCACTTCAAGGATGCCATCCATCCATCTTGCCCTTGGTCGGCCCCTCTTCCTTTTGCCTTCCACTTTCCCCAGCATAATTGTCTTCTCTAGGCTTTGCTGTCTCCTCATGATGTGGCCAAAGGACTTCAACTTTGTCTCTAGTCTCCTTCCCTCCAGTGAGCAGCCGGGCTTTATTTCCTGGAGGATGGACTGGTTGGATCTTCTCGCAGTCCAAGGCACTCTCAGAACTTTCCTCCAGCACCACAGCTCAAAAGCATCTATCTTCATTCGCTCAGACTTCCCTAAGGTCCAGCTCTCACATCCGTAGGTGACTAGGGAATACCATGGCTTTGACTAGGCGGATCTTTGTTGCCAGTCTGATGTCTCTACTCTTTACTATTTTATCGAGACTGGACATTGCTCTCCTCACAAGAAGGAAGCGTCTTCTGATTTCCTGGCCACAGTCTGCATCTGCAGTAATCTTTGCGCCTAGAAATACAAAGTCTGTCACGGCCTCCACATTTTCTCCCTCTATTTTCCAGTTGTCAATCATTCTTGTTGCCATAATCTGGTTTTTTTATGTTTAGCTGCAACCCAGCTTTTGCGCTTTCTTCTTTCACCTTGATTAGAAGGCTCCTCAGCTCCTCTTCGCTTTCGGCCATCAGAGTGGTGTCATCTGCATATCTGAGGTTGTTAATGTTTCTTCCAGCAATTTTCACCCCAGCCTTGCTTTCATCAAGCCCCGCACATCGCATGATGTGTTCTGCATACAAGTTAAAAAGGTTGGGTGAGAGGATGCAGCCTTGCCGTACGCCTTTCCCAATCTTGAACCAGTCTGTTGTTCCGTGGTCAGTTCTGACTGTTGCTACTTGGTCCTTGTACAGATTCCTCAGGAGAGAGACAAGGGGCTTGGTATGCCCATCCCACCAAGAACTTGCCACAATTTATTATGATCCACACAGTCAAGTAATGTTCGTTTGTGGGATTAACAGAACTCAAAAACCACTGGACGACACCAAATTTGGACACAAGACACCTAACAACCCAATGTATGTTCTTCACTCAAAAACATTGATTTTGTCATTTGGGAGTTGTAGTTGCTGGTCATGGGGGTTCTGTGTGGGAAGTTTGGCCCCATTCTGTCGTTGGTGGGGTTCAGAACACTCTTTGATTATAGGTGAACTATAAATCCCAGTAACTACAACTCCCAAATGTCAAGGTCTATTTCTTCCAAACTCCATCTATGTTCATATTTGGGCATATGGAATATTTGTGCCAAGTTTGGTCCAGATCCATCATTGTTTGAGTCCACAGTGCTCTCTGGATGTAGGTGAACTACAACTCCCAAACTCCAGGCCAATGCCCACCAAACCCTTCCAGTATTTTCTGTTGGTCATGGGAGTTCTGTGTGCCAAGTTTGGTTCAATTCCATCATTGATGGAGTTCAGAATGCTCTTTGATTGTAGGTGAACTATAAATCCCAGCAACTACAACTCCCAAATGACAAAACCATCATTTTTTGAGTGATGGTCACTCCTTGTGTTGTGAGACGTTTTGCTGCCAAATTTGGTGTGATTTCGTTCATTGGTTCTTTTGTTTTTAAGGTACTCCTTCTGCACAGAGCATTTTTATATATATAGATTATAAATTTGGTGGAACAGAAGTGCTGTGGACACTGTGCATCTTCATTTCTGTAAAGCTTTTCACCATTTTTTTTCATCACAGTCTTCCAGGCCAATTGTGTGCTAGACCAGGTATGGGCAAACTGTTTGACCCTGGAGGGTCAATGTTTGCCCATGCCTGTGCTAGACATTGATAGGGTTTGTGGATTTGTGACTGGCTGACACACTGAGTCAATGGTTGCTCTTCACCTGGAGAAAAGGGACAGGTGAGGTGCCTCAGGTTCTGTCCTGGACGCAGCAGCGTTGTCTGACATCATTATAAATGACTTCCATGGTGGAGCAGAAGCCATGCTTATTTGCAAATGACACCAAATGAGGCAGAGGAGCAAATAGCCCAGAGGACAGGATTAGAATTCCAAATTATGTCAACAGATTGGAGAACTGGGCCAAAACTAACAAAATGAATGTTAGCAAAGATAAATAAATGTAAACAACCAAATGTAGGCAAGTAAAAATGAAATGCACATAGGATGTGTGCCACCAGGCTTGAAAAGCAGTAGATATGAAGAAGATGTCAGGATGGGTATAGAGCACAAACTAACTAGGAGCCAATAGTCTGATGTAGAAGCCAAAAAAGCAAATGCCATTCTAGGTAAAGGGAAATAGCAGTGGCACTGTTCTGCTCTGATCAGATCCACACTGACAAGCCAGAATGTGTCCAGAGAAAAGTGACTAATGTGTTAAATATTCTGGAAGCCATGCCAAAATGACTTATGACTTAGGAACGACTTAAGAAGCTGGGTATGTTTAGCTTGGAGAAGAGAAGACTAAAAGGGTGACATGATAGCTTGAAATATCAGAAGGAATGTCATGTAGAAGATAGAACCGGCTTGTTTTCTGCTGCTCCGAGAACTAGGGCCCCATCTACACTGAGCATTGGGTTCAGCTTCAAAGTTGCACATCTGCACAATGAAGTCAGACTTAGCCACGGTGGTCCATGCTCTTGTTACATCGAGAATAGACTTCTGCAATGCGCTCTACATGGGGTTGCATTTGAAGATTGTTCAAAAGCTTCAAGTGGTCCAACAAGCAGCAGCCAGATTTCTTACTGGAGAGGGGAGCAGGGAGCACACAGTCCCGCTGCTGTGCCAACAATACTGGCTGTCAGTCTGCTACCAAGCACAATTCATAGTGCTGGATTTAGCCTATAAAGCCCTAAACAGTTCCGGTCAGAACTAATCTCCTTCTATGAACCACCTCGGAAGTTAAGATCATCTTGGGAGGCCCTGCTCTCGGTCCCACCTCCTTCGCAGGCGTGATTGGTGGGGATGAGAGACAGGGCCTTCTCAGTGGTGGCCCCTTGGCTGTGGGTTTTAAGGGCTTTCTTAAGGTTTACAACCAGTTACTTTATAGATTTGAGGCTAGAAATCAGTATCACTGACCCAAGGCTTTTGACTTGGCAGTTGTAATGTAGAGCAATACAAATTTCCAAGCCATCTTTAAAGGCAGCCCTAAGTGGAGCACTTGACAGTAATCAAAACTGTAATAACAGGGATGAGTGACTGATGTCGGGTCTGTTTCTTCTTTCGAAATGTCAGCAGCTGGCAGAAGAGCTGATCTTGGCAGGAAGAAGAATGGCTCTTGGCTGTGACCACTGCTTCCAGGAGGAGCTTCGCAGAGGAGGCAACACTGCCCCTGCTCCCAGGGGCCTTCAAGGTGCTTGCCAAGATGTTGTCTCGTATGCCTTTCTTGGGTAATAGGACAGCGTTGATTTAATATCCTGATAATTTAATGGTGTTCCCCTGTCGACTGATACTGAGCAGGCTCGGAGATCATTATTCAATGCCTAAAGAACCACAGAGAGAGGAGTGAGATTGCTCACTGCCAGAAGCTGGGTGGGATGACCTCATGGACCCCGCTTCTGTTCTCCACCAGAGCATTCCTGGAAGATATTGCAGAGGCGCCGAGAGATGAGAGACTTACCACTTCCATTTTCTCCTCCTCCTTCTTCTCTTTTTCCTTTTCTTTCTCCTTCTTCTTAGCCTTCGCGGTGATTGACAGCACAGCAGTGGAAACCTGAGACATCACAACAACAACAACAAAAGCCAATCAGGGTGCTGAGAGGGACATGCTAAGGGGATGCTCAGTGACAGCAGGATCGGGACAAGGGAAAGAAGGGCTCAGGATGAGGCCACTGGCCTTAGAGGCAGACTTGCCCCAACAGGATTCCTGAACTTGCTCACTAAAAATGTCTACTTTTTGTTTGGGCCATTGTACTTGCTCATTAATATCAACAAGAATTGCTGCTGTTGTTGTTGTCATCTCACCTCTCCCTACCAACTGAAGGAGGGAATGACAGATATACACATTAGAAACACCAATTAAATATATGTTTACTGCTCAAGTAGGGAGCTTTGAGATGGTAGAAGAGAAGCTCTCTGAAGCTCTAGGTGCTCTTACCGCCTATTACAGGGAAAACCAGCTGATCCCCAACCCATCTAAAACACAGACATGTGCTTTTCATTTCAAGAACAGACAAGCATCCCAAGCTCTGAAGATCACCTGGGAAGGAATCCCACTGGAGCATTGCAGCGCACCCAAATACCTGGGAGTCACTCTGGACCGTGCTCTTACCTACAAGAAGCACTGCCTGAATATCAAACAAAAAGTGGGTGCTAGAAACAATATCATACGAAAGCTGACTGGCACAACCTGGGGATCACAACCAGACACAGTGAAGACATCTGCCCTTGCGCTATGCTACTCTGCTGCTGAGTATGCATGCCCAGTGTGGAACACATCTCACCACACTAAAACAGTCGATGTGGCTCTTAATGAGACATGCCGCATTATCACAGGGTGTCTGCGCCCTACACCACTGGAGAAATTACACTGCTTAGCCGGTATTGCACAACCTGACATCCGCCGGGAAGTAGCAGCCAATAGTGAAAGGACCAAGGCAGAGACATCTCCAGCTCATCCCTTGTTTGGGTATCAGCCAGCACGTCAACAACTTAAATCAAGAAATAGTTTTCTTAGATCTACAGAGACACTTGCTGGAACACCTCAGCAAGCGAGAGTCCAAAAGTGGCAGGCTCAAACCCAGAACCTCAATCCATGGGTGATACCAGATGAGAGACTCCCCCCTGGGCACACAGAAGACTGGGCAACTTGGAAGGCGCTGAACAGACTGCACTCTGGCACCACGAGATGCAGAGCCAACCTCAATAAATGGGGCCACAAAGTGGAATCCACGACATGCGAGTGCGGAGAAGAGCAAACTATTGACCACCTGCTGCAATGCAACCTGAGCCCTGCCACATGCACAATGGAGGACCTTCTTGCGGCAACACCAGAGGCACTCCAAGTGGCCAGATACTGGTCAAAGGACATTTAATCAACTACCAAACTTGCAAATTTTGTTTTGTGTCTTTTTTTTTTTGTTCTGTTAGAAATGTAATACAATTGACTGGTTGCCCTGACACGACAAATAAAATATATGTTTGCAGGAAAAAGGTTGGACTGGATGGCTCTTAGGGTCTTCTATGATGCTTGGAATGCGAGTGCCACTCATCAAGGATTCAGGGTTGGCTGCTTCCCATTATGCACACCCTTTTCCTGTAAGCATTGTTTTGGTTCCATGTAATGGATGCTATCCTGTTAGTGACATAAAAGGCAAAGGTTTCCCTTGACATTAAGTCTAGTCATGTCCAACTCTGGGAGGGGGTGTGTATGTCCTTATCTCAATTTCTAACCCGAAGAGCCAGCATTGTCCATAGACACCTCCAAGGTCATGTGGCTAGCATGATTGCATGGAGCGCCGTTACCATCCTGCAGAAGCAGTACCTATTGATCTACTCACATTTGCATGTTTTCGAACTGCTAGGTTGACAGAAGCTGGGCCTAACAGCGGGAGCTCACGCCCCAGTCCCCAGATTCAAACCACCAACCTTTCGGTCAGCCAGTTCAGCAGCTTAGCGGTTTAAACCACCTTACACAAGAGTAAATGGAATGTATGCACGTGTATGCTTGGGTTCGGTCCCTGCAGGGTTTGTTATTCTCCTCCCTCTCCAACGATGAATGGCCCATCTGTGTCTCACCCTTTCACTCTGGTCGCCTCCCTCCATGGTGATCAATGGGGAGGGTCAGAGAAGCATTGGCCAGAAAAGCTGCATCTCCACAGCCAGACTCAGGTCAAGGACATCATGAGCTGAGACCTCCAGAAGGGGCAGATGATGTCACAGTTCGGCCCCTGGCTACGCAGATGTAACCAAACAGTGCCCTTCACTCTCCACATATCATTAAGTGGCTGCTGTGGAGGAGGCTCAACAGTGAATCCTGGAGGGAACCGAGAAGAGAGACATACTATCCTTCCCCTTTGGAACTTTAAAACCTACTTTGCGTAAGTTTTTATCTTAGAACAGGGAGGTCAAGCAACAACCAAAGGCACACAAACCTCCAACTGATTGCAGAGTTTTTGTCAATGACAGAGGCAAACTTTTCCAGGGGTAAACCCACCTTTTCCTTCTCCTTCTCCTTGGGCACCTCCAAAGGGGCTGGGTAGGCAAAGGTGGAAGGCTTGACGTTAGATCTGTACTGCACTTTTGGCATCTGCAAAAGAAAGACAGTCCGGAGAGTTAAGCGGCTTGAGGCAGGCTTCATGCGGCGTGTGCTTGTGGAGCGACGCATACAAATCACGTAAGACAGAAAAGCTTCCTCCAGCACTCTCCGGAAGCGCTGGAGTCATCAGCAGGAGTGCGTGTTCCTCTGGAGCATCATTATTCCATTAGCAGGCAATTTAGCCTGGCGAGGCATCTTTGCTTTCTCTAGCTCCCGCACGGTACAGCTGTGTTGTTTACTCTCTGTTTTGTTTCCTGGCTTGTAATATTTTGAGCTACAACTAGACAAGCCAACTGTAAGTAAAGTAGGGCTGGGCATACAGAAATAATAATAATAATGTATTGTCGAAGGCTTTCATGGCTGGAATCACTAGGTTCTTGTGGGTTTTTTCAGGCTATATGGCCATGTTCTAGAGGCAATGAACGGCAGCCAACCTCACTACTTCTGAGGATGCTTGCCATAGATGCAGGCGAAACGTCAGGAAAAATGCCTCTAGAACATGGCCATATAGCCTGAAAAATCCCCACAAGAACCTAATAATAATAATAATAATAATAATAATAATAATAATAATAATAAACCTTTATTTATACCCCGCTACCATCTCCCGCAGGACTCAGTGCGGCTTACAAGAGGCCGAGCCCAAATACATCAACAACAACAATACAACAATAAATAACTCATATAACAAAGCAAAACAATAACAATAATATCATGACGCATTTGAAACCTGTGGCAGGGCCAAATGTAATGATTAAAATTTTAAAAATGCTGGGCATGTCCAAGTGAAATAGGATGGATATTTTAAGGATAGGTGGGCATGCAGACAATTCTAAATCTCTCGTAAAGTGCATTTGGGACATATTGCTTGGGATTCCTTAATCTGGGAAGGCACACTGGAACATCCATGTTTTCAAGCTCCTTCTAAAGACTGCTAACGTTGGGGCATGCCTGATGTCCTTGGGGAGGGAGTTCCAGAGTCGTGGGGCCACCACAGAGAAGGCCTTCTCCCTCGTCCCCACCAATCGCGCTTGCGATGCAGGTGGGATCGTGAGCAGGGCCTCTCCAGATGAACGAAGAGATCGTGTGGGTTCGTATACGGAAATGCAGGTCCCAAACCGTTTAGGGCTTTGTAGGTAAGCACCTGCACCTTGAATTGGGCCCGGAAAATGAACGGCAGCCAATGGAGCTCCTTGAACAGGAGCAATCAACTGGACATAATCATCATCATCATCATCTTTATTTATAGCCCGCCACCATCTCCCCAAGGGGACTCGGAGCGGCTTACATGAGGCCAAGCCATTGACTTTAGGAGTAGGCTAAAGCATTGGCCACCAAATTTGGTATCTCAAATATGCTAGGTTTAGAAAAACAAACCAAGGTCCTGGTCCTAATTTGTTGGAGAGACAATGCATACAGGAGTGAAATAATTCTAAACTAAGCTTCGGAGGGACCACACTGCTGCATGCTGTGTTCTGGATCTGCCACAATCGCACAAGCTCCACTTTGAGATTCTAATGTTTACAAAACATACTTGGGGCCCTTCAGTAAGTACAGATGTCTTGAGAACTTGGCATAGTTTGGCTTTCAAACTATTTCCCCCCTCCATCCTTCATAAGAGCTGAAAGCCAAGCAAAGTGCCACGCGGAGACACTGAATTCCCATAAGAAGGCAGACTAGTCAAGTTTGTTAATACATTACAGGATTTTGCTCAAGATAATTGGCCCTATAACTGCCAGCAAGGAGACCTTAAGGAGGCCTGATTTATCTATTACAAGGTTCAGGAGAGAGGACTGTACTTTGAAGGTGGTATTAAGTAAGATATGCAAATGACTCACTAATGTATTCAAAATAAATCCATCTCTGCTCTCCAAGATGGCAAATCACTTCTCAATTGCCACTGAGGGAAACCACTTTTCATTGCTTAAGGTGGTAAAGCAGATAATTCTGGATTTTGGTCAGAATGCATTCTAGCCTAGCTTTACTTAGAAAGAAGCAGACTTTGCAACTTTATCTCAACTTGACCTCTCGAGCTATCTGCCTTGGACTTGATGATTTGCAATTACTTTTGTAATGTAACCAAGAAATGTCCCCCACAAAATCCCCAGCTGAGACTGTTGTAGTTCAGCCCATGAGTGTGCCTGCTCCTAATGTCAATGAGGAAGTAGATCATGGGATTTCTGGGCGTGCGGGTCAGCATGAGATTTTAAGTCCTGAAACTGAGCAGTCTGTGCCTCCAGCTAGTGAAGGCCACATTCCAGAGAGGGGCCCAGATGCTGCTGAGAGGCCTTTCTTTAGGGAAGCAAGTTCGGAGGCTGAAATGATATGAGAGGATGAAATTCCAGGTGGAAATAATAATGAGCTTTTAGATAGGAGACTTAATTTTCGTAAACTCCGTGCAGCTCAACAGCAACTCCGAAGTTCACAGCGCTTGTTACAGAAAAAGCCATTACCAGGCAGTTAGGGAAAACGGCATGATTTCATGTTTTTATTAGAGAGAGCAGGGGGATTTTCCAGGAAGTCTGATCAATGTTGAAGTAATAACTCTTGCCATCTTCTAGTTAAGCCTGCTAAGGGAATTCTAATTCATGTCTCCGCTCGTTCATGCTTCCTGTTTTTAAGTTTGAAGTATTATTCCTGGATTTTTGTATCAGATTCTATGCTGCCTTGTGTTTCCTGGTTCTTTTGCATTCCTGTGCTGAATGCCTTGATGTTTTGGGTTTTTGAAACTATTATTTATTTTATTTATTTTGTGCATTTACCCGTATATTCCGGCATATAAGACGACTGGGCATATAAGACGACCCCCAACTTTCCAGTTAAAATATAGAGTTTGGGATATACTCGCCGTATAAGACTACCCCTCTTCCAATGTACACCAAATAAAAATTTAAAAGCATCAGATTTGATCTCAATATGGTAATTTTCCTATTACTGTACCTCCTTCTCTGCCTCTCAGATCTCGCACCTGCGCACCTGCACCTCTTCACTGCAGTGGAGCAAGATCTGAGAGGCAGAGGAGGAGGTATGGTAATAGTATACAAGGGCGGGCCAGACAGGTAAAAGAGGTGTGTTTGTCTGGGCCCAGGGCCACTCTATCTCTTTTTTCCATACCACGGGCACCCCGGAAGCCTGCAGCTTCCTCCGCCCTTCACTTACACCTTCCCAGTGAGGTGCCCCTTCACCTCACCATCAGGACCACATTAAGTCCACGAATCCTGATGGATGGATTTTCTTCTACTGTACTTGTACAGCGTCGCCCTTAATGCTTTCATACAGTCGCTGCATACGGCAGGGACACGGCCACAGCCATTTTTGAGCTCCGCCCCCCATATGCGGCAACCACAGATTCTCTAATCCAATTGGAAGTTTCAGAACCCGCTCTATAAGATGAGTCCCGTGTATTACTCCTGCGTATAAGACTACTCCCGCGTATAAGACTACTTTTATGTATAAGACTACTCCCATATATAAGACGACCCCTGACTTTTGAGAAGATTTTCTTGAGTTAAAAAGTAGTCTTATACATCAGAATATACGGTATATCCCACCCTTCTCACCCCCGAAGGGGGACTCAGAGCGGCTTACAATCAGCACTCATTAGATGCCACACAAATAGCAATAAAATTACAATTAAAACATTAATCTTGTGGACTATTTCATATACTGTATTTGGACTGACATTTTACTATGTTTGCTGAACTACTTTTTATATAATCTTCAATAAACCGCTTGCTGTTTTAACATGGACTGAAGTGTGGTGGTTAAATACAGAGGTGCTCCCTGCCCTGGACTGCAATTGAGACAGCCTCTTTCCATAACTGGAAACACAACATCCTCTCTGATTAGGAATCTCGAAGAAGTAACCTTTCTGAACACCAACGTGATGCTGTGCTTACTGCAGAGGCACACAGGAACCAAGCCGCATCTAAATAGTTTACGTATTTAATTAGAAAAGGTTATACAGAAGACATGGAGGTGGAGGAAGCTTCTAGGAATTGAACCTGGAACTTCCACACGCAATACATTATGTCATTATGCTTGGCAATGAAGCCACAACTCCTGAAAGTGGAAATGCCAGGTAGAGGAAAAGAGCAATATTCTGTGGTTATGAGACGACACTAATTGTTTGGCAAGAGGTCCTGAACCAAAACTTGAACATGTAGAACAGTGGTTCTCAACCTGGAGTCCCCGGATGTTTTTGGACAACAACTACCAGAAATACCAGCCAGTTTACCAGCTGTTAGGGTTTCTGGGAGTTGAAGGCCAAAAATATCTGAGGACCCCAGCTTGAGAACCAATGATGTAGAAGTATCATGCCCAATGAGCACGATTCCTATTTCAGTCCGCGGAGGACATACCTTGAGGTCCTTGTTTAGGCCGATGACACAGGTTGGGGTGAAAGCCAAGGACAAGAAGTGGGAGAGAGGAAACCAGAACCAGAACTGGGTGAAGACCAGCACTCCGACCACCGACGGCATGTGCGTGTGTCCAGTCCTCGACTGCAGCGAAATAGTGACATTGTGGCCGCCTAGAAAACAAAAGAGGCAGGAGATGTTGTGATTAAGGACAGCTCCAAGGAACTGTGAGGTTTCTCATACACTGCCTTCAAAGCTGTTAGAGTTGGGAATAAGGTGGCTGGGAAGCATGCCGTGATAAGAATTCATTCTCCTCACTCTTCTTTTCATGAATATCCATTATCTCAACAAACTTATTCACACCTTCTCTACATGCTCTTTTTTGTGGTATACTTCACAAATCCTATCTTGCTACTATTTTTTTTTCACAGAGAGTTATAAGCAAAATTATGTCTCCACTTTTTCTCATTTGTCCATCTCCAAATCCCAGATCTTCTGCCATTTCAGAAATCCTCTAAAGGTTTAAGGAAGGCAAGGGCAAACTTGGGCCCGCCAGGTGTTTTGAACTTCAACTCCCACAATTCTGACTGTTAGGAATTGGAGTCCAAAACACCTGGAGGGCCCAAGTTTACCCATACCTGGTCTAGGGGGGAGAAGAAGTCCTTAAAGGTTTGTAGTCCTCACCTCCCAAAAGCAGCTTCAACATCTGCTTCAGACTCCTAGAATCATAGAATCCTAAAGTTGGAAAAGACTTGGAGGGCCATCCAGTCCAACCCCATTCTGCCAAGAAGCAGGAAAATCACATTCAAAGCACTCCCAACAGATGGGAGTTTAAAAGCCTCCAAAGAAGGAGCCTCCATCACACTCTGGGGCAGAGAGTTCCACTGCTGAACAGCTCTCGCAGTCAGGAAGTTCTTCCTCGTGTTCAGGTAGAATCTCATTTCCAGTAGTTTGAAGCCATTGTTCCACTGCGTCCTAGTCTCCAGGGCAGCAGAAAACAAGCTTGCTTCCCCTTCCTTATGCCACTCTTTCACATCTTGATCCCTAGCCCTCCTCTCAGCCTTCTCTCCAGCTGTTTAAGTCACTCCTCACAGGGCTTGTTCTCCAGACCATAGATCCTTATGAACTATAAATCTTAGCAGTGGAATTAATCCTGCCATAGATCCAAATGCTGCCAGAATTTCATCCTCATAATACAGAGATCAGGTGAAGCTGTCAAGCTGATGCAAAACAGAAGCTCCTAGCTAAAGCCAACAACCCAAATGAAAGAGGTTGGCTCACAAAGAGTTATTAATCTGATCCTCCACTCTCCATTCGGTTTGGCCAAAGTGGTCATTGGCTGCCACTGGTACGTCCAGGGGACGGGGGTCAGAGTTTAGGTGGGAGAACTAAATGCATTGCATTGCATGGGGTTTAGTGTCTTTTTAAAGAGAGATAAAAAGGAATAGAAATGAAAACAACAGTAACAACAGGCCCGCAGAAGCACCACTCAGTCACAAACAGGGTCTTCTTGAGATCCAGTCCATGACAGCCTGAGAAAGGGGGGACCCAAATGCATTCTGTTGGCTAAACCTTCCCCACTGGAGCCGGAAAACCTATTCAGCAAAGCGGATATTCTCTCTGCATTGCTGAAGACAGTGGGCTGTAGCACATGCTCTCCCTCCGCTCTCATGCGCTCTCATGTCAGGAGATCCTTCAGACGGCTTCCGCATGCCGATCAGCCACGGCTGAAGCCAATCCCAACTTAGGTTTATACAACTTTTGGAATTTTATTTTTCAACATTTACCCTTTAGACAGAGACTGCCTAAAATCTGGCATTCCTTGAGAAGCTGACTTCACCTCTCAAGTATTGCATTCTCCCTGTGACTGTTTTTGTTCTCCAGGCATGACATCCTCTCTTTCTCTTGGCTCATCTCCTTCTCTGGGCTTCTGGGGAGCCAGAAAGGTGTGGGATCTTGCACTGTGTGGCTCCTTGTCTCAGAAGAATTCTTTTTTCAAGTCAAGCTTCAGGGACATGGGCTGAAACTTTGTTGTTGTTGTTCATTCGTTCAGTCGTCTCTGACTCTTCGTGACCTCATGGTCCAGCCCACGCCAGAGCTCCCTGTCAGCCGTCACCACCCCCAGCTCCATCAAGGTCAGTCCAGTCACTTCAAGGATGCCATCCATCCATCCATCTTGCCCTTGGTCGGCCCCTCTTCCTTTTGCCTTCCACTTTCCCTAGCATAATTGTCTTCTCTAGGCTTTGCTGTCTCCTCATGATGTGGCCAAAGGATTTCCACTTTGTCTCTAGTCTCCTTCCCTCCAATGAGCAGTCGGGCTTTATTTCCTGGAGGATGGACTGGTTGGATCTTCTCGCAGTCCAAGGCACTCTCAGCACTTTCCTCCAGCACCACAGTTCAAAAGCATCTCTCTTCCTTCGCTCAGCCTTCCCTAAGGTCTTTATGTGATTCCAAAAACAAACATAGCATCTCCCCCATGATTCTTATCTTCTTTTCTTTCAAGATTCGTTTTTGCCCAACTACCAATGACAGACATTTCTGGCACATTTAAACCAGATCCGAAGTGTTTACCGAATACTGGGAAACACTGGATACTGGTACTGAATACTGGTAAACAGCTCAGAAAAAACAGAAATAGGAACAGATTGTTTCCTCCTCCTTTGCTCCTTGCATCCACGCTGTTGCCATATCATAGGTCTTCTCCATATGCAATGTTGTAGAAATCCATCTTTCCTCCTTTGCTCCAATTCCATTTCACACTCTGGTCTTCTTCCTTCTCCACTCAGGCCTGCTGTGGTCAAAGGTTGTGGCTGTGGGCTTTATGGGAGTTATAGTCCAAAACAGAAACACTTCCAAGTTTTGTAAAAACTAGAGCTGCCCGTCACTGAAATTGTGTGTTGGCTATGCTTCCATTCGTGACCGCATCTCTCTCCATGAATCAGGCCGAGCTCTCTGATCCTCGGGGGAGGCCCTCCTTTCGCCCCTACCAGGTTTCACAGGCTCGTCTTATAATAATAATAATAATAATAATAATAATAATAATAATAATAATAATAATACTTTATTTATACCCTGCTACCATCTCCCCAAGAGACTTGGTGCGGCTTACATGAGGCCGAGCCCATAATACAACAATACAAGCAAAACAAGCAGTAACATATACGATTTTGTTGTTCATTCGTTCAGTCGTCTCCGACTCTTCATGACCTCATAGACCAGCCCACGCCAGAGCTCCCTGTTGGCCGTCACCACCCCCAGCTCCTTCATATACAATACATAGACAATACAAAGCAATAAAATAAATCTCATACACAGATAGCATAAACATTGAACAAGGTACAGTGCACATTTAAAATCTATGGCTGGGCCAAATGTAATTAAAGTTTAAAAGATAATGCTAGGCATGTACAAGAGAAAGGAGGTGGGGTGTTGATGGAGACATACAAGCAGACCTTAAATCGATATAAAGTGCTTTTGGAGGACATAATGCTAAGGGTTCATTTTTCTGGGAAGGCACACTGGAACAACCACATTTTCAAGCTCCTCCTGAAGACTGCCAGAGATGGGGCATGCCTGATGTCCTTAGGGAGTGACTTCCAGAGTCGAGGGGCCACCACCAAGAAAGCTCTCTCTCTCGTCCCCACCAAATGTGCTTGCGATGCAGGTGGGAGCACGAGTAGGGTCTCTCCAGGTGATCGTGTGGGTTCGTACATAGAAATGCAGTCACGCAGGTTGGCAGGTCCCAAACCGTTCAGGGCTTTGTAGGTAAGAACCTGCACCTTGAATTGGGTCCGGAAAATAAATGGCAGCTACAAGGGAGAGAGCCTTCTCCTCTGTGGCTCCCCGACTCTGGAACTCATTTCCCGGAGAGATTAGGAAAGCCCCTACCTTAAAAAGCTTTTAAAAGAATCTCAAGACCTGGCTCTGCTATCGCCTTGTGGAGAGTAGCCATACAACCTTATACTATTGCTTCCCTCAACGTTTTTTGTCCGTGGAGTACACCTCCCCCTTGTACGAAGGCCTGTTTACTACCCCGTTTCTCTATGAGCTCTCCCCAAATAATCTGTTCCTTTTATCTCACACTGAGTTTTAATCAGTTTATTGTACATGCGGCCCGCTCACTGTTATTTTGATTGTTTATTGCATTTTTATGTTTTGTGTACATTGTTTATTGTATTCATATGTTTTTGTATTTTACTGTATTTTACATCAATAACCCACACTTTTTTCTTTTCCACAATCGTGATTTCTGGCATGTTGTGTTCCAAAACTTTGTCAGTCTGGATTCGAACGTCCCACAGGTTTTTTTTTTGCATGTTCATTATTATTGAAGATTATTACTACTATTATTATTAGGTCATTCACCAGCAGAGGAAGCCATTACAGTGGCCTCACCCCAATTATAACCTTAGGCCCCATGATAATAACTCTTTCAGGAATGAATTTCCCTTCTGAGGGGGAGATTTCCTATTCTTCCTGATGTCTTACCCCTGTTCTTAACTATGAGCGATTTGCAAGTTGGATGTTTGCAACTTGTGGACTGCCTGTATATATCTTAATGACATGTGGTTCCAAATGCCCGATTACCTTCTCCCAAAACAGTTACTATACTCCCAACTCAAGAACGGAAAACAGAATGTTGGTGGACAAGAAAAGAGATGTAAAGATGGACTAAAAGTTAACCTTAAAAACTGTGGCATAGACACTGAGAACTGAGAAGCCCTGGCCCTTGAGCATTCTAACTGGAGGTCAACTGTGACCAGCAGTGCTGTGGAATTTGAGGAGGCATGAATGGAGGGCAGAAGTGAGAAACGTGCCAAGGGGAAGAAGGCACATCAAGCCAACCCTGACCAGGACTGCCTTCCACCTGGAAACTGATGTCCTCACTACAGGAGAACGTTCGGATCAAGAATAAGGCTCCACAGTCACTTATGTATCCATCGCCAAGACAGTGCACTTGGAAGGCCAGCATACTCGGACAACGAGGGATTCGCCAGGAAAAGAGGAAGGCTGATGCTGCTGGTTGTCAGCTCTCTCACTGCTTGGAAGTATTAACCAAGTTTCTGTTGTTAATGGATGGGAGCGGAAAGCTATCTCTTACCTCAATGCACAATGGTTCAATTATTCAATTACAGCCACTCAGGCTTCTAATTGCTCTTTCCGTAACTTTCAG